TTTTGCATACTGGGCTGTGTTAGTGCTTCACTGTAAGCACACTGCTTTGTATGGCTCTGCTATGCAAAGTATTGTGCAGGAGATGACAAGGAGGATAACTGTTTTGTTTATAAACAGTTCCCCCCCCCCCCCCCCCCCCATTGGAGATGCTCGGCAATCGCCAGGTGCTGACAAGTAATCACTGGCCGGGACCTTGTGACTGACAGCCGAGACTGCAAATGGCGGCGTGAGTAGGATACGCCTCGTACTAGCCCCTTACCCGGAACTATACGTGATTTTGCATAACCCTGCTGCCCTGTAGCAGTAATTTTGCCACAGGGCGGATGGAAAGTGGTTAAAGTGGTTGTAAACCTCAGACATGGAGTATGAACAAAACACATCCCTCTATAGTGTGCTCTTGTCTCAATTAAGAGCACTAAGTGTCATTTCTGTCTGCTACTTGGTTCCTTTGCTATCAGCATGAATCACTTCTGACACCAAGCAATGAAAAGGTGACAGGGGAGGGAGCTCCACACAGCCTGTGATTGACAGCCTCAGCTCTGTTCCTCTGTGCTATGTGAAGGGGAGGTGTCCCTTCCCTCTAATCAGCTATCAATTCTTCTCACTGAGCTCTACAGAGTGAAAATTCAGTTCTCTTCCCCCTTATTTCTGAAAGCTCAGACACGCTTTATAAATTCTGGACTTTGAACAGACGTAGAGCAGGCTCTTGATAAACAGGTACATCTTATGTAGGACGACTTGTTTCATCTCTGTATATCACTAGAAGTCAATCACTTAATTGAGTATATGTAAAGGCTGTTGTACACATGGGCTGAGTATCGTCTGGTATAGTCTGGTTGAACAAAAACTGGCCAACGTTCAACCAGTGTGTACAGCGGCCTGTCCAACAAATGGCAACATTAGTAGCCAATGGCTGTGATGACTGACCAGTTTGTTTTTCTGGGGGGGTTAGTCCCCCTGTCAGAACACAATGCAGTGATTTACTAAAATTGGTGCACTCAGAATGTGGTGCAGCTGTGCATGGTAGCCAATCAGCTTTTAACTGATTGGCTACCATGCACAGCATGGCACAGTGGCTTAGTGGTTAGCACTTCCACCTGACAGTACTAGGGTTGTTGGTTTGAATCCCAACCATGACACCACCTGCCTGGAGTTTGCATGTTCTCCCTGTTCCTGCATGGGTTTCCTCCAGTTTCCTCCCACACTCCAAAGACATGCTGGTAGGTTAATTGGATCCTGCCTAAATTGTTCCTAGTATGTGTATGTATGAATATGAGTTAGGGACCTTAGATTGTATGCCCCTTGAGGGTTAGGGACTGATGTGAATGTACAATATATATATGTAAAGCATTGCATAAATTGACAGCGCTATATAAGTAGCTGAAATAAATAAATATTCAATTGAGCTTTGACAGTAATGCTGCATTCACATTTGAGTGTTTTGTAGCTTGAAGCTTCAAAAAAAGCTTAAACCTAAAAAAATCAATTGTTCTCTATGGTGCCTGTTCACGGGCCTGGTCATGCAAACTGGCACCATAAAGAACAAATGTGAGCATTTTTCGAGCTTCGAGCTTCAAGCTACAAAACTCTCAAGTGTGAATGCAGCCTAAAACCTGGAAGCTGATTGGTTTCTATGCAGAGCTGCACCAGATGTTGCACCCTCCAGTTTTAGTAAATCAACCCCATTAGCACAGTGGGGGAGATCGCCGCACTGTCATCTCTTAGTTATAGCCTGCTGGGTTAAACGAAAAAAAAAAAACCCAAAAACTTCTAGTATGTACCTAGCATAAGGCCGGCCATACATGGGTCGAAAATCTACCAATTTTTCATATGAAAATGGGCCTAAGAATAATCGGCCGATTTTCGTTCTGTTAGTGGATCAATGGCACCGGCCGATTTTCATGGTTCCTCCCCCTTTTTGGTGATTGGGCATGCTGGAAAATTTGTGGAAAACGACCGATTTTCGACTCAATGATTCATCCCCCATATAGTAATTCATCCCCCATATAGTAATTCATCCCCCATATAGTAATTCATCCCCCATATAGTAATTCATCCCCCCTATAGTAATTCATCCCCCATAGTAATTCATCCCCCATATAGTAATTCATCCCCCCTATAGTAATTCATCCCCCCTATAGTAATTCATTCCCCATATTGTGTCAATTCATTTACCTTTGCTCCGTGCGTTCCTCTCGCCGTGTTCCCGCGCCGTTCCAGTCTTCAGGGCAGACTGTGAGAGGAGAGGAGTTTGTCACGCTGCCCCGCCTACCTCCTGACAGCCAATGTTTGCCACGCTCCGCAGGCCGGATTAAAAGGTCCGCCGGGCCGTAGTTTGCCCATTCCTGGGCTAGCTGCAGAGTCCTGACTTTTGGGGCAGCCGCCTGAGAGGAGGGAGGGGAGCGGGCGCTTGGCACACAGAAGAGCCGCATTGAAGTGTGTAAAGAGCCGCATGTGGCTCGCGAGACGCGGCTTGCCGACCACTGCACTAGGCGATTTAATAATGCTGGTAACGTTAACTATATAAAGTCACGTCAAAAACGTGAGTTTTTCAGCATTTTTTAGCGTTTTTGCATTAGCGTCTAGCCGCGTTTTTCCACTTTTGCAGTTTTTAGTGTTTTTTCACGCCCCCAAAAAAAGTCCAAAAACACTGGTTTGCAGCATTTTACTGCGTTTTGTCACACGTTAGAGCATTTTTACAGCTAAAAACCTCCTCTAGAAACCCACTAGTCCTGGGTTCTTTTTCCAACCAAAAAAAAGTCCCTGCCAAAAAACGTTGATTACTGTCTATGTGTGCAAAACGTTGATTACTGTCTATGTGTGCATGGACACACAGGATAACATGCTGGGGGTTTACTAGCTGTAGAAAAACAAACGCCAAAAGCCATAAACAACAGCTGTAAAAACATCCAGTGTGCACGAGTGCTTAACAGAAACAGATTTTTTTTTGACACATTGACACACAATGATGATATTATTTACATCAAGTTGACCATATGTGAAAAACTTTACATGCCCTTTTAAGTATAGTGTACCTTTATATAAGAAAACTCTCCCTCCCACCCAAAAAAAACCCAGACCTCAGATGAGAAGTTTTCTAACTTTTTGTTGCCTGAATTTTTTGTTCAGCTGTGCTGGGCAGTGTTTACTTTCAATATTGTTCCTGGATATTCAGCTCTATCATTCATCTCTATGGAGCATGTAGCTGTGCCTGCGCCCTGAAGCATAGATGCTGGGAAGAAAATCAAAACTAAATTTTATCCAGCACAACTGATAGCTTGGGACTAAGGTGCATCTGAGGTTAGATGTCTGTATACTACCCGAGTCAACGTACAATATATATATTAAGGTATACCTGTACTTCAAGTTCTTATCAGCTTCCATATTTGAAGCTGTGTGAATGGTTGACCAGAATGTTATTAAAAAGAATCACAATTCTCGTGTGTCCTTCTTTGGTCACGCAACATCTCTTGCACTACATCTAAAATGTCATTGAAAAAAGTGTACATTTCCATTACGTCCCAAGGCCAAAAGGTCAGATTGTTTATGGACTACTTGAGCCTGGTTGTGACTTCTATTTTATGTTCCTATGCATATAGTTGATCTCTGTTCTGTTATGGAGTATTTGGAAAAGCAGGTCATCTTGATATCGTCATTCCAATGTCTCTTGCCCTAGGTAACCAGACTCTGCATCTCTAAATATCCTGAGAAACCTGAAAGATGCTACAAAGGGTTTGGCACAATACCATAAACAAAAAAAATAACGGTTTCTATACAATTTATTTTACAAAGGAAAAGATATTATTTTTAAGGTCTATGAGACAGTACAGCACAAGATATGAAAGATTACTGAACATTTTTAATTTCTTTCTATTTTTTTCGATGCTTACCTCTCCTTCATAAAATGGTATTTCTCTGGCTGTGACGGTGATGCTTTGAATTCAATAAATAAACAAACCCCTAACCAACCCCTAGCTCTAACCCCATCCCGTAACCCTAACTCTACTCTAATGTTATACCTAAACCTTACCCCTAACACAAGAATAAAAACATAAATAAATAATAAAGAAAAGCTGATGATAAAGCTAAAACAAAATAAAAAACATAGCAGCAAATGATGAAACATTTTTTTTTCAACTGGCAATTAAAAAAATGCCAAAGCTCAAAAACGCCCCCAAAAACACAAAAAACACAACACTCAGGTGTGAATGCAGCCTAAAAATCTCACAAATGGTGTATCAAATAATAACGGATGTTGGTATTTTTAGACATACGTTCACCTTTATATGTCCATATATTTGTAATTTTTTTTGGCTTCTTTAAAAGTAGAAAACTGCTCTGGCAGAGAAATATTTCTTTTTTAAGGCGTAAAAAGTACTATTTTAGAGCCTGCAAGAGAACACAGCATTGCAATAGATGATATTTTACCTTGAATTTCAGATTCACTTAACTACATTATGAAAATACTGGTTGGTGCATGAAAAAAATAACCTTTCCAAAAACTCTCAGCGGATGCAGGGGAATATAGAAAATTTTATTTCCATAAAATATAGCTTTGGGCATGAAAAAATGTTATCTCTAAGAAAACAGTTGTCATTGAAAAAAAAAAACTTTTTAAGTAGGGCTTTGTAAGCTCAGAAAGGCCAAAAAGTACACCTTTCCCGAATGTCTGCTATCATCAAATCCAGTATTTTCTTTGTTGCTGATAATAATAATATTAGTCGTTAATTCTATCACCTGCCAGCTCATACGTGTTTGTTTGTTGCACTTATACAATGAAGCAAAATTTCTGACATAGAAAAATGTGAGGAAGATGATAAAATTAATGGCTGACTTATATAGATGACATGGGATCACCCCCTTCTTTATGCAGGGTATAGGTGCAATTTTGTTTGTCTATGCATTGATACTGTACTTCAGGTAAAGCCAGGGGCGGACTGACAACTCATGGGGCCCCCGGGCAATAGGGGATCATGGTGTCCCTATTTCCTCGCCCACACCCAAAAAAGCCTATGAAAAAGCTAATGAAAGGTACCAGGAGCATCTCATGGGGCCCCCTACTGACCCCGGGCCCTCGGGCAGTGCCCGAGTGCTCAAATGGTCAGTCTGCCCCTGGGTAAAGCACAATAGTTATACTTTACTATTCATAGCAGAGTCAAATTGGTATTTGCATTTACTTTTATATTTAGTATTGGGCCTGTTTACCTTACTACTGTATTTATTTGCAGCTGCAAAAGGCAGGTGAACACAACAGTGGCTTGGAATGCATAGAAATAATCCTTGAAACCAAATTAAAGATGTAGCTCATAGCCCCCAAATAACCCTTTTGAAGTGAAAGTCACTCTTTTTGAACAAATCACCCTATTCCTCTTCCCCCTATCCCTCTTCCTGTTCAGAATAAAGTGACAGGTACTCTTGAAAGGACAACTCCTTCACCCCTTGATGTACACCTTTGCTGTACTCCCCTACTGGTCGTTTTCACCACTGGAGCTGGCAGCCCAAACCACACGTAAGCTCCATGTTTGAGCTTACGAATGGGTGATGACTTCCACCGCCCAAGTGACAGTGATCAGATCTAGTGATTGGCTGCTTCATGCCCGAGCACTGCATTCTGTGAATGAAGAGAAGGAAGACAAATGCTCCCACATACATGATAGCACTGGGTAATGTCTGAGTGAAGTGCATGGTGGTGGGCAGTGTGGAAAATTTGAGTATTAGCAGGTGGAGTTGTTTTTGTTGGAAAAGTGATAGATTCTCTATTATATTACATAAGTATATCTCTATGGATGTATTGATGGAGAAACTTTATTTTCTTTGACTGTGGCTCACAAATGTATAGGAATGCCTCCTCCAAGACCTGGTTAAGGATATAAGTATGGCTTTTCCCTAACTGACCTAATGCTTGAGGAAAGTCAGTTTAAGCTGGCCAAGGATGACCAAACCCACTAACCTTCTTAAAAGGTGATATCACTTTCCAAACAATTACATTTGGTCATTTACTCACATACTTGCCCAGTATCCATCGCAGCCCAAACTGGAGTAAACTAGTCCTCTAACAGAACGGTGAGAAGCACGTGTCTGCCTTGATCATCTGGCAAACCATTGGAAAATGGGCAGGAACTTTGGAAGAGCATCTACAGTTGTGCTCAAAGGTTTTCATACCCTAGCAGAAATCATGAACGTGTTTTATTGAAAATATGACTGATCATGCACAAAAACTGTCTTTTATTTAAGGATAGTGATCATATCAAGCCATTTATTATCACATAGTTGTTTAGATCCTTAGCATAGTTACATAGTTACTCTGGTTGAAAAAAGACAAAAGTCCATCCAGTTCAAACATTAAAAAAAAAAGTTATAATCCTATACCCATTGTTGATCCAGAGGAAGTAAAAACAAACTGCAAAGTATGATCCAATTTGTTCCTGCAGGGAAAAAAAATTCCTTCCTGATCCCCGGAGAGGCAATCAGATATTCCCTGGATCACCTTTACCTATAAATGTTAATATCCAGTTATATTATGTGCATCTAGGAAAGAATCCAGGTCATTTGATCTGCTGATCATGAATACAATGCTTTACAGGCCTTTTTTAAAGCAATCCACTGGGCTGGCCAGAACCAACTCTTGAGGGAGTCTATTCCACATTTTCACAGCTCTCACTGTGAAGAAACCTTTCAGTGTTTGGAGATTAAATTTCTTTTCCTCCAGACGTAAAGAGTGCCCCCTTATCCTCTGTGATGACCTCAGGGTGAATAGGTCTACACCGAGTTCACTATATGAACCACTGATGTATTTATACATGTTGATCATATCCCCCCTTAATCTCCTCTTCTCAAGAGAGAATACATTCAGTAAAATATACATTTATTAGGATTTAATAGATCCTTTTTAAATCATAATGATAACCGAAATCACCTAAATAGCCATGATCAAAAGTTTACATACCCTGGAATGTTTGGCTTTGGTACAGACACACAAGGTGACACATACAAGTTAAAATGACAGTTAAAGGTTAATTTCCCACATCTGCGGCTTTTTAAATTGCATTTAGTGCCTGTGTATAAATAGTGCGTTTATTAGCTCTCACGTGGATGCACTGAGCAGGCTAGACACTGAGCCATGGGGATCAGAAAAGAACTGTCAAAAGACCTGCGTAAGAAGGTAATGGAACTTAATAAAGGGTAAAAAAAATATCAAAAGTCTTGAATATGCCTGTGAGTACTGTTCAATCATTTATTAAAAAGTGGAAAGTTCAGAGATCTCTTGATATCAAGCCAAGGTCAGGTGCACCAAGAAAGATTGCAGCCACAACTTCCAGAAGAATTGTTCAGGATACAAAGAAAAACCCACAGGTAACCTTAGGAGGAATACAGGCTGCTGTGGAAAAAGATGGGGTATTTTTTTTATGGAGCACAATACAACAACACTTGAACAAAAATGAGCTGCATGGTCGAGTTGCCAGAATGAAGCCTTTACTGCACCAATGCCTCAAAAACCCTGGTTATATTAAGCCCAACAACATTTGACATTTCTCACCTAACTAGCCTTAAAACTCTTCCCCTCCTCCTAATGCCTACAGCATGCTAACTAACCTGTGAAAAGATGTACATAATTACCTATTTTTAGCCTGCTCCTTTATAGTCACGTGAACTTCCCTATGTCAGCCAATGGCAGCTGCAAGAGAGAAGAGAGAGCACTCCAACAATGACTGGTTATGCCTGGAGCAGTGACACCACCCATAGCCTTTAATGGCCCACCTGTTGTCAGTGCTCCTTCCTCCCCCTTGCAGCTGCACTGGCTGACACGGGACTGGGATCACATCACCAGACTGGAGGGGCCTGAAAATAGGTAAGTATATGCATCTTCATACATGTTAGGAGGGGGAAATGGGCAGTTTTAGGAGCAGTGCAGATGAAGATGAAGCAGGAATCCCACTTTAAGTGTGGTGGCAACATTTGTTTTCTTTTTTTTTTAAGACTTTTTCCTTTATTTTCACCTGGTAAACTGGTAACACACTTCCTGTCTTAGGGTGGCTCCTCTGTCTATGGATGAGCAACGCAGTCACCCATGAACAGCTGTACTGTCTGGAGAGAGTAGTGTTATGGTGGCCACACAAGCTTTGTTTTTTTTTCTCCAATTGATGTGTGATTTGATAATCAAACCTGCAAACAATCAAATAGCCAAACTTTTCCTTCTGATCGATTTAGACTACTATTGATCATATTTGATCAACTTTTTCCATGAATACTATTGTATTTTGATTATTCATATTCTGAGATTACAGAGTATCAACAGAGATGCAATCCTTTTGTGATGAAGGTTTTACAAAGATGAATAAAAGCTGACAATTGTAAGCACCCCTGTCAGTGGTAAATGGTTTGTCTCAACCCTCTAACTGCTACCTTTTCTGGACAGCTTGTTCTGTTACAAGAAGTTGAAAAATACCAACAGGTAAAAAAAACTGTTACAAGATGTGCTAGAAAAAGACTGCTTTGTTAGTGATAGTGACAGAATGTATCATATATGCCATTTTAATTTTGTCTTCAGTACCTCTTTAACAAATTATGACTTAAAGTGTTACTAAGCCCACAACAGTAAAATCAGTCTGTATATGCAGTAAAGCATGCTTGTTCTACTCCCTGTGGAACCTAAGAGGTTAATCCTTTGCATTGTGTAAAAAGGCTGTTTGACCCTGACTTCTCTGCTCCCCCTCTTGTTCAAATGTCCATGTCTTATCTCCTGATAAGACAGACTGAACCGTAGCCATTCTGCACATGCTTAGTTTAGTGTGTATTGCTAGAGAGGTTTTTTTTTTTTTTGTTCTTGGGACAGTGCATGTGTGCAGTAAAGCATATTTGTTATACTCACTGTGGGACCTAAGGGATTAATCCTCTGCATTGTGTTAAAATGCTGTTTTATCCTGACTTCTCTGATCCTCCCCTTCTTCCAGTGCCCCTCTCTTATCTCCTGATAAGACATATCGTGTGGAGTCACTCTGCACATGCTCAGTTTGGTGTTTATTGCTAGAGAGTTTTTTTTTTTTGTTGGGAGAGTGCATGTGTTCAGCACAGTCCAGACAGAGGTCAGGGGTTTTGCATCCACCTAGAGCAGAAAGAAAACTCCTCCTGCAAGCTTTAACCAGTGCTCTGCTGAACACTGATAGAAGTCACAAGACTGCTCTAACTGCTGATGAGAAAAGGTATTTAGCAGTTTATATTTACTAAAATATTTGCATTTCCATGTGTACTGTGGGAGACCAGATAGAGTGAATGCAGGGTCCTGGGTTTAGTAACACTTTAACAAATGACAATCTAAAGCTTTAAAGCTAAGGACAAATTTGATGTTATGACTCACAAGAATTTGTGTAACTGACGGCACCTACACAGAAAATCCAGGAAAGACAACAAGACAATTGACTATGAATGAGGGTGGCCTATGGGTTCTAGCAGCAGAAGAAATAGGTAGCTGCAGACTCATCATATATGGAACACCAACCCCTGGAAAATCTTTTTTTTTAAAAGAGCAACCTAACGTGGGCGAGGGATAAACACTTTTTTATTGAAACTCACATCTCGCCTAGACATCAGATCCAACAGGCTTTATTGTCTTAGATTTCTATTTGTATAGAACAGCCAGGAATTATTCAGTCATCCTTCTCAGCTCAATTCTTTTCTTCCCTACGGCCAGCCAGTTAAACTGATCTCCTGAATACTGGAGATAAATGAATCCTGCTTAGTCAGCAGAGTTGGAGCAGTGAGTCGATGATTCCTCTCCAGCACTTACCACTAATGGTTTTGAGGTTTGCCTTAAATTTTTTTTTTTAAGCCACAGGTTTTCTCTCTCCCACTTCCTCTCTCCCTCCTTCTTTCATTTTCCCATTATCCTTAGCTTTCCAACAAACACTTCCAAGGCTGCTGTCGGCCCCACACATTATATTCCATACACGTGGCTTTATTGAGAAAAAAAACGATGTAGTTATAGAGGAAGCAGAACATCACACTGTATTGAAAGCAGATAAATGAAGCTTAACCCCTTCGAGACTCTGTACAGTTGATTAGGAAAATAGATCTGTAAATAGCATTTACAGATCGTTCTCAG